CCAAGGCCATTCAATGCTAATCAAGGTGGCCAATTACAACATTCACACTTGCCACAAACAGACAAGACCTGGACATTATTCCACCCTGGACATTATTCCACAGATATATAAACTCCACTTGCTAGTTTCCAACAGACCTCACAACCTTTGAGGATGCCTGCCATAGATGTGGGTGAAATGTCAGGAGATAATGCTTCTGGAAAATGGCCATACAGCCTGGAAAACTTACAGTAACCCATCGTCATCACAATTTTACTTATTTATACCTTGCTTTTCCCCAAGTTTGGGACTCAAAAATAGCTCACTAAAAAGTGTTTGATTTCAGCAATACAATTAAATACTTACAAAAAGTAAACATTAAAATGTAAAACTATTTACAATATCAAAACAATTCATGTCTGAATAAAAGAATAAAATGCAATGAGAAAAACAAAAAGTTCTTGTGTGTGTGTTTCGATTATATTTTTCTGTTTTCTTTTTTTTTCTTTTTTACTCTGGAGGCTTGGATTTTACAGCCATCAGGATTAAAAATTAAGTAGTTCTCTGCATAAACATCTTAAATGGTTCTTACATTGGTAACTTAGGGCCCTTTCAAACAGGCCCTTATCCCAGGATCTGATCCCAGGTTTTTCCACTTTAAACTGAATTATATGAGTCCGTACTGCCAGATAATCTGAGATAAACAGAAAACCTCAGATCAGATCCTGAGATATAGTGCCAACTGGAAGGGCCCCTAGAATACTTCCACACTGCAGTTTGACAAATCTTTTAAATGCCATGGCTCAATGCTATGGAATCTTGGGAGTTGTAGTCTTACAAGGTCTTTAGCCTTCTCTGCCATTGAGTGCTAGTGCCTCACCAATTACCAATCCCAGGTTTCCATAGCATTGAGACATGGTGATTAAAGTGTTGAATTTTGATTATGCAGTGTAGATGCCCTTTTAGGTAGGATAAAATATGATGGTTATGATATAGTCCTCTTCTAAATGTCCTTGGATTGCAACTCCCATTTACTATATCAACTTTAGTCAAAGTCAAGAGATGATGGATCATACCTTAACAACCTGTGGAGGACTACATGACTCTTGGCTATGTTTAGGGATTTTCACATAGTGTGGCCCCACACAACTGGATTTTTTTTTCATGTCAGGAACAACTTGAGAAACTGCAAGTCGCTTCTGGTGTGAGAGTGTTGGTCATCTGCAAGGATGTTGCCCAGAGGGTGCCTGGATGTTTTGATGTTTACCATCCTTGTGGGAGGCTTCTCTCATGTCCCCGCATGGGGAGCTGGAGCTGACAGAGGGAACTCCTCCGCCCTCTCCCTAGATTCGGAACCTCCAACCTGTTTGTCTTCAGTCCTGCCGGTACAAGGGTTTAACCCACTACACCATCGGGGGCTCCTGTACAACTGAATAAAATCCCACATTTTTTTTGCTTGAACTGGAATATATGGCAGTGTGGACTCAGATAATCCAGGTCAAAGCAGATTTTGTGGGATTTTCTGCCTTGATATCCTGGGATATAGGACTGTGTGGAAGGGCCCTAAGTTAGTTTATCACATATTTTGGACGAGGAAGCAATAGACAGAGATCAAGTGTCTGGGGTTATTTCCAGACATTTCTCATGGGGTTTAGAAGCGAAAGAGTTCCAGCATCCCAAATACCAGTCCCATAAGATCGTTCCACAATAAGGTCTTTCCCATCACATCTCTCCACATCACTCTTGTAACTGGAAATGGCAGGGATTGAGCCTGGGGCCCTTTTGCAAGCACATCAGCCCCTCTGCCTCTCTATGCTCCATGGTTTGTCCTTAACAGTCAGTTCTGTGACCACACGGCAAATCTCTTAAATGAGTTAAATACAGATAGCACTGGTTTAGGGAAGAAGACAGGGAGGAGGCTGCAGATACGAGGCAGGGAGAGGCTTAAAATATTGGTCATTTGGCTACCGGATAACAAACATGAACCTTGCAAGACTGCAATGAGAGTATTTCTTCATGCAGAGTGGCAAGAGAGGTGAATGGTAGTCCAGCTAAATCATGAAGTAAGATTGTAGGGGAGGTTAGCCCTTCTTCTCCAACCCCAATGCACCAGAGCATCTCTCTGGGCTCTTCCACGCAGCCCTATATCCCAGAATATCAAGGCAGAAAATCCCACAATATCTGGATTATCTGAGTCCACAGACATATAATGTGGGATTTCCTGCCTTGATATTCTGGGATATAGGGCTGTGTAGAAGGGCCCTCCAAAGGATTTGCATGGTCTAATAATTCCTTTTGCATCTGACCAGACCATAATATTGGGGGAGAAAGATGGGTACTGCCCCTTGCTGGACAATGGCACAAACTACAGATTGTTTCCATGCTCTCTCCTTGTTTTTGTTTTTTTAAAAGATAGATATAGGGGCTTCTCCCCAAACCCTTTCTGTGTGAAGCAGGGTCAATTCCTCTAAGTTTTGGCAACTCTCCAGATAGAATTACACACTGACATTTAGTTGCTGCAGTAACGTAACATTTGACTTCTCTCTTCCTGCAAATCTGTGTTCTCCAAAATGGGTGCAGTCCAGGACTCCTCAACTCACATCTGGATGTGACAAAGCTAATATGAAGACTGGAGGCCTACAAGGGATAAGTGACTTTCCCAAGGTCATACAGGAAATCTGTGGCAAAGCAAAGGCCCTGTACGATCCGCTTTCTAGCTTAGCAACCCTAAGTAATACACTGTGCTTCATAGCATCTGAGGGTGTGGGACACTTCCTTCCTGCATCAAAAATGAAAGTTAATGAGGTCAAGGAAAGGCTACCCAACATTCCCAGTAAAGCTGTCAAAAGAAGGCAGATAGATGGAGTAGAAGGATGGGGATGTGAGTGACTGGAAAGACACAAATCTCCTCCTTTGCTCTTGACCTGAGAGGCATCCCATACTTACATTCTTCTTAATTTTCCTATAGTTCATGCAAGGGAATGAGAGTGCCCTCCTCTCCTCTCCTACAACCTTTGGGATGCTTTGTCAAAGCTACTTATAGTGAATTTATGAGCTCCCAACACCATTTAGTCATCTATTTACCCGGATTCTCAAAATAATTTAAATAAACAGTAAAAGGGAGAGTGGATCTTTGTTCTCCTACCTCCTTGATTTATGGGACAAAAGGGAATTCTCGTTTGCTTTAAGAATTCTTCATGATGATTGCGGTAAAAATGTAAAACCATCATTGTGATGGTTGTGGTAAAAAGGTAAAGGTAAGGGTTTCCCCTAACACTAAATCTAGTCATGTCCAAGTCACAGACTAAGGGTGCATCTCGACTATAGAAATGAAGTTTGACACCACTTTAACTGCCATGGCTCAATGCTATGGAATCATGGGAGTTGTAGTTTAGTGAAGCACTAGCAAAAAGGTAAAGGTTTTCCCCTTGACATTAAGTCCAGTCATGTCCGACTCTGGGGGTTGGTGCTCATCTCCATTTCTACACCAAAGAGCTGGCATTGCCCATAGACACCTCCAAGGTCATGTGGCCGGCATGACTGCATGGAGCACCGTTACCTTCCCGCAGAAGCAGTACCTATTGATCTACTCACATTTGCATGCTTTTGAGCTTTTTTCATGTCAGAAACAACTTAAGAAACTGCAAGTTGCTTCTGGTGTAAGAGAATTGGCTGTCTGCAAGGACGTTGCCCAGGGGATGCCTGGATCTTGTGGGAGGCTTTTCTCATGTCCCCCGCATGAGAAGCTGGAGCTGACAGATGGGAGCTCACCCTGCTCCCCAGATTCGAACCGCCGACCTTTCAGTCAGCATTCCTGCTGCCACAAGGGTTTAACCCATTGTGCCAACCTAGCAGCTGGGCCTAACAGAGGGAGCTCACCCCGCTCACAAGATTTGAACTGCTGACCTTTTGATCAGCAAGTTCAGCAGCTCAATGGCTTAACCTGCTGCACCACCATTAAAATCCCTTAAAACATTCACTCTGGGATCAAGAGAAAGAAACCAATAAGAGAGAATTAGAGAATATATGTCTCTAAGTGTATGCAGAGTGCTTTTATTTCCCTATTAAATGACCACAGCTATCACCAAAAGCATCTCATATTACGGCTGGAATTTCCCCATAAAGCACTCATTATTTCCAGCCTGCTTTTGAAGGCTGGCACCTCTGCTTCATTTGGAAGTGCCTGTAATTGGCGGCTAGGCCAAATTAAAGAAGCAGAGGGACAAAAGTGCCATCTCTTGCGTGCATGAAGGGCCTGCGGAGTGTGTGCCAGCAGCATCCTTCCCGTCCTCGCCAGCCTGGTCCTGCCAGGGCCTGGGTCACCCTCCCCCTCTCCCAGCTGCTCCCTCCTCCCCATATCATCCCAGAGGAAGGAGGGGGAGGCCTGGGCCCATCTGCTCCTCTCCATCCTCCCTTCCTTGCCTCCCATTTCCACCAGGCAGATCCTCCTTGTTCCATAAGGCCTTGAAAAGCCTGATTCTGTGGGCAAAGCCAAAGCGGCGGCCTTGGGCTCTGAAACAAGCACATCCATCCATCCTTTGAGCACAACAAGCAAAACCTGGGGGGGGGGGGGGTAGGCAAACCATCTCTGATGCTCCCCCATTGTGGCGCAAAAGCAAAACCTCCTATCCATCCACACAGTGGCCTTTTCCATTTGGAGTTGCAGATAGAGAAGAGGAAGATGGGGGAAGGAGAGGACCACTTGCCGCCTCCCTTCCCCACACTCTCTGTCCTGGAGCATTTTTTTCTCTTTCCCTCCATCCAGTCCTAAGGGGGTCTCCCCAGGGAGAGCCACCCAGCAAAAGGTCATACAGGGGCTGATCTGAAATAGTGAAAAGGGTGAGAAGAAGAAGAGGCGCATCCCTTCTTACGCTGGCCAGCGCCATCCTCCTCCTCCTCCTCCTCATCATCATCATCATCGCCTTGCCTCCATCCTTCTCTCCATCACCATCCATCCAGATACTGCCCACTCCTTCGGCCATTCCTTCCTTGGTCATTCCCTTCTCCATCCCTTCCCTTACCTCCACCTGACGCCTCCTCCGCCTCTTCTTCTTCCTCTCCTCCCGTCTTTCCTTGCAAGGCAGGGAACAAAAGCAGTGCCCCTTCTTCCTCCTCCTCCTCTTCTTCCCTATCAGCTGGTCCCCATCTGGCTCCTCAATGCGCGCCCTGGACCCAGGTTGAGGCTCTAAGGAGGAGCATCCTCCTCCTCCTCTTCCTCCTCCTCCTCTTCTCTGTCCAAGGCGCGGTGGCAGCGAGGGATGGGGAGAGGCAGGGATGCAGGAGGAGGCGCCTCGCTGTGTGCCAGCCTTCCTTCCCTGCAACGGCAAGGAGGATAGCTCGGCCTCTTCCTCCTCCTCCTCCTTTCCTTCCCTCCCTCCACTCAGCTCTCCTTCCCCCCTTTTCGGTGTCACCCTGGGGACAGACCCGCCTTGGCCCCTGGAACCAGGCTGGGCTTCAAAGCAAAGAGCAAGAGAAGGAATTAGGGGCAGCAGTGGCCCAGGACAGCTTCACCCATAAGATCACCCACCCTTATGTGGTGCATCCACTGCTGGGGAAGGAATGCAGCTTGGACTCCCACTTTAACTACCATAGCTCAGTGCTAAGGGATCATGGGAGCTGCGGTTGAAGGCCTTCAGCATTCACCAAACTAAAGATCTCATGAGCCAATAATAATAATAATAATAATAATAATAATAATAATAATAATAATAATAATAATTGGGTTGTTGTAGGTTTTTTCTTAGCTCTCTCTGGGGAGCCCCCGGTGGCGCAGTGGGTTAAAGCGCTGAGCTGCTGAGCTTGTTGATCGAAAGGTCGCAGGTTCGATTCCGGGGAGCGCGTGAGCTTCCGCTGTCAGCCCTAGCTTCTGCCAACCTAGCAGTTCGAAAACATGCAAATGTGAGTAGATCAATAGGTACCGCTCCGGCGGGAAGGTAACGGCGCTCCATGGAGTCATGCCGGCCACATGACCTTGGAGGTGTCTACGGACAACGCTGGCTCTTCGGCTTAGAAATGGAGATGAGCACCACACCCCAGAGTCAGACATGACTGGACTTAATGTCAGGGACTACCTTTACCTTTCTATCTTCACTTTCTCTCCTGACGTTTTGCCTGCATCTATGGCAAGCATCCTCACTACCTCTGAGGATGCTTGCCATAGATGCAGGCGAAACATCAGGAGAGAATGCCTCTAGACCAGGGGTCCTCAAACTAAGGCCCGGGAGCCAGATGCAGCCCTCCAAGGTCATTTACCCGGCCCTCATGCAGGGTCAACCTAAGTCTGAAACTACTTGAAAGCACACAACAACAACAACAACAACAATCCTATCTCATCAGCCAAAAGCAGGCCCACACATCCCACTGAAATACTAATAAGTTTATATTTGTTTAAATTGTTCTTCATTTTAATTAGTGTATTGTTTTATGTGTTTTTTTGCAATACAAATAAGATATGTGCAGTGTGCATAGAAATTCATTCATTTTTTTTTCCAAATTGTAATTTGGCCCTCCAACAATTTTGGGGACTATGACCTGGCCCTCTGTTTAAAAAGTGTGAGAACCCCTGCTCTAGACCATGGACATACAGCCCGAAAAAACCTACAACAACCCAGTGATTCCGGCCATGAAAGCCTTCAACAATACAACAACAATTTTGAGGCCACTATCAAGACCTCAAAATTGAACTGCAACATCTCTGGCATAAACCAGCACAGGTGATCCCAGTGGTCATTGGCACATTGGGTGCTAATCCAAAAGATCTCAGCCAGCATTTGGAAACAATAAACATCAACAAAATCATGATCTGTCAACTGCAAAAGGCGTGAGCCCCAGGTGGCGCAGTGGGTCAAACCCCTGTGCCGGCAGGACTGAAGACCGACAGGTTGCAGGTTCAAATCCGAGGAGAGGCGGATGAGCTCCCTCTATCAGCTCCAGCTCCTCATGCGGGGACATGAGAGAAGCCTCCCACAAGGAGGACAAAAACATCAAATCATCCGGGCGTCCCCTGGGCAACGTCCTTGCAAATGGCCAATTCTCTCACACCAGGAGTCACTCCTCACACAACAACAAAAAAACCTGCAAAAGGCCACCTTGCTTGGATCTACGCGCATCATTTGAAAAGACATCATACAGTCCTAGACGCTTGGGAAGGGTTTGACTTGTGATTTTTTGATACGAAATCCAGCATAGAGATCTCGTTAATGTGACATACTGTGCTTTTGTATCAGTAAAATAACAACAACAACAACAACAACAACGAGTCCGTACAAGAAGACTGCACTACAAACCAGAGCTGACAGGTGGCACAATAAAGCACTGCATGGGCAGTTCCTTGACAAAATTGAAGGAAAAGTTGACAGGGAGAAGACCTGGTTATGGCTCACGAATGGAACCCCGCAGAAGGAGTCAGAAGGCCTGATTCTCGCAGCACAGGAGCAAGCCATCAGAACCAATGCAATTAAGGCCATGAGTGGAAAATCAGCAGATGACCCAAAATGCAGACTGTGCAAAGAAGCTGATGAAACCATGGATCATATCCTCAGCTGCTGCAAGAAAATCACACAAACGGACTATGAACAGAGACACAACTCTGTGGCCCAAATGATTCACTGGAACTTATGTCACAAGTACCACCTGCGAGCAGTAAAGAATTGGTGGGATCATAAACCCGCAAAAGTAATGAAAATGAACATGCAAAAATACTGTGGGATTTTCAAATCCAGACTGACAAAGGTTTGGAACACAATACACCAGACATCACGATGGTGGAAAAGAAAAAAGTTTGGATTATTGATGTCGCCATACCGGGTGACAGTTGCATTGAGGAAAAACAACAGGAAAAACTCAGCCATTATCAGGACCTCAAAATTGAACTGCAAAGACTCTGGCATAAATCAGTACAGGTGGTCCCAGTGGTTATTGGCACACTGGGTGCCGTGCCAAAAGACCTCAACCAGCATTTGGAAACAATGAACATTGACAAAATCATGATCTGTCAACTGCAAAAGGCCACCTTTTGTGATACGAAATCCAGCATATATATCTTGTTTGCTGCATCATATTGTGTTTTTGTGTCAGTAAAATAATAATAATAATAATAATAATAATAATAATAATTATTATTATTATTATTATTATTATTATTTTATTTTTGTACCCCATCTCCATCTCCCCGAATTGGACTCGGGGCAGCTTACACATGGCATAAAATGCCTAAAACAATACATAAAATAAAATAAACACACAATACAATACCAGATAGGCCAGTTGTATATAAAGCAACAATTTGACTCAAAATGGCACCCAATAACCTATACTGTCGACTGTCATAAAAACGTGGTCAACTGAATCATACAATCATGGTGTCACTATTCATTCTGCAGGGTCCCACATTGGAGGAAAGGTTTGGACTTTGTGTTGTCCAAGGCTTGTTAGGAATTGTGAGAATTTAAGTCCAAAACACCTAGAGGGCCCAAGTTTGCCCATGCCTGCTCTAGTGCCTGGCCTCTGCTGTCCACTCACATCCACCTTATCGGCACCCAGCACTTGTAGCAGGTGCCGCATACAACTGAAGGGCAGAGCAAATTCTAGTCATTATGTGTATTTATGTGACAGCAACCATATTTGGAATATTGTGTAGCCAAGACTTTGAGACACACAGAGATACTCCTTTGAGAGCGGGCATCACGGAGCAAAAATGAAGCAAATATAGAAGAGAGCAGCCAAAACTACCACCTGACACATACTTCCATGGAAGCAAACTCCACTTTTAGTGAAACTTCATTTTAATTAGGCTTTGTCGTATAGGATTGCAGTTCCCACAAAAGCAGATTTTTGTGGGTGAACTGGTTATTTCCTTCTAATATTGGAGGAAACAGGGAAGATGTTGAGGATATAATGTATGTGGAGACTGGATAGAAATTTGCTCTTTCCTTTGGATTAGCTACTTCGTTGTTGTTGGGAATTATCCTGGGGTGTATGACTTTTTGAAGGAAAAATGTGAAAGCTTAAACTGTTAGAGATCAGCCTTCTTTTCTTAACAGATAAGCATACCTAAATATCATATTACTTTCCTGGCCCAAATTAAACAAAGCAGGAATTTTCTCGTTGGAGACTTAGAAATGGAGTTTACTGATGTCTTTTATATGTATTTACATTTGCATGGAGTGCCTACACCCTAGAGGAAAATGGAAGTGGGACCTAGAGACAGAAGTGGGGCCCTTCTACATTGCTTTGGATTACATTGCAGTGTAGATTCATATAATCCAGTTTAAAACAGATAATGTGGATTATCTGCTTTAATAATTTGGATTATATAGCAGTGAAGAAGGAGCCTAGATGACTAATGACCCTACAGATTTTCACATGGTCTAGTCCTTACAAGAACTTCATTCATTTGCTTTGCTCAGGAATGGGGAAATCCAGGCCCGGGGGTCGGATATGGCCCCTTGGGCTCTTTTCTCAGGCCCTCCTCTCTCACACCAAGGAGGGGAGGGGAGGGAAAAGGGAGGGAAGGAAGGAAGGAAAAAAGACGCACAAGAAGGAAGAAGAGAAGGAAGGAAAGAAGGAAGGAAGGAAGGAAGGAAGGAAGGAAGGAAGGAAGGAAGGAGAAAGAGAGAAAGAGGGAGAAGAGGGGAGAAGAAAGAAGAGAGAAAGGAGGAGGGGGGAAGGAAGGAGGGAGGAAGGAGAAGGAAGGAAGGAGAAGAAGGAAGAAAGGGAAGGGAAGGAAGGAAGGAGGAGGAAGAAAAAAGGAAGGAAAGGAAGGAAGGAAGGAAAGAGGAAAGGAAAGGAAGGGAGGAAAGAAGGGGAGAAGGAAAGGAGGAAAGGAAAGAAGAGAAAGGAGGAAAGGAAAAGAAGGAAAAAAGAAGGAGGAAAGGAAAGAAGGAAAGAAAGAAGGAGAGAAAGGAAAGAAGGAAAAAGGAAGGAAGGAGGAAAGAAGGAGGAAAGGAAGGAAGGAGGGAGGGGGGAGGGAAAGAAAGGAGAGAAAGAGGGAGGGAAGTAAGGAAGGAAGGAGGAAAGAAGGAGGAAGGAAGGAGGAAGAAAGAAAGGAAAGGGAAGAAGGAGGAAAGTGAGAAAGAAATGCAGGTGGAGAAGGAAAGAAAGGCAGGA